CTCTCATTTGTTCTTTACTGTCGTTTGTATTGATTTTTGTTACCTTCACAACGGATGCCTTTTATAGAATAGCAACTTACATGAAACAAGTTCACTGTCACAAAAAGCTTTCCGATCCGGTAATTCAACGTCATGTCATGAAAAACTTACACGTCATTATTTTATTAGAATGGGATGCAATTGTAATGGTGGACATACTCGAGTTCACTGTCAAACAAAGCTTCCTGATCCGGTAATTCAATGTTATGTCTTGATAAACCTACACATCATTATTTTATTAGAACGAGATGCAACGGTGATAGTTGACCTGTTTGTTATATGTATGTACCGTCGGTAGTGGAGATATTAATGGGATGACAGGATTTTTTGTTTTGGTCAAAGAGGAAATTTTTTTGGTCAAACGATAAATTTTGTTAAATTAGATGTTAGATTAGTTATTGACGGAATTTATATCTACATTATTATGCAAGGACTCAATATCTTTCCACCATTATGGTAAATGGTAATTTGCGGTTAAAGAGGATTGGATTACAACCATTTGGAATGTTTAATATAGTTTGGTTAACTACTTCCCATCTAATCTCAATAATTAAGTAATGTAATCATTAAGGCTTCAAATCTTCTGTACCCAAGATTTGTGCCGCAGAAGTATCAGCCTCTAATATTATGACATGTGGACACTTACTCAACCGCCACTTAACCCCAAACGTTAACAATTTTCTTTGTCTGAAATATAAAAATAAGAATGAAGTACATCAAATTTTAAACCTTTTAGTGTCATTCTAAATTGGTCTTAATCTTTTAAAATATTCTAAATAAGTATTCAACCTATTTAAAATCTCACATCCGTTAAGTCCCATTTAATTTTTTCGTTAAATGCACATCTGACAAGAATGCGTCCCACTTTTAGTTTACATGGACACTATTAATAATAAAAATAACTTAAAAGAAGACATGAAGGTTGGGATATATCAAGCTCCCACCAACTCCAAGCTCAACCTGGTAACCTACGGCCACCAAAACCACATCCCAACCTTTCTATTCAAAACCCACCAACTGAGTATATCATGGTTAACATTATATTAGTTGCCTCAAAATCTAAAATTCAAACATAAATTATATATTATGGAACCCAATGATATAACATGTATTGAATTCAATTGAAAATGAACCCAAATTGAAATTATATCAGGAGGGCAATCTCCTAAAAAAGAAGAGGGCTAATAATTTAGATAGGGTTTCAAGGAGCTTGTTTTTGCTCATGTGATTTCCTCATTCGGCGATTTTCGCCTCGTAAAGTTTCCAGTTCTTCTTTGTGGGCGGAGAAGATAGTGATAGTCGCATCATGGGAGTCCATACTATTTCAGCAACTTCCATAATCTTTTTCTTGATGTTGCATCTTGAATTGAACGATGTGACAGGTTGTCCCGAATTATTTTTTTATCGAGGGTGTGAAAAGACTGAATTGCCCTTGGACGTTAGTTGGCGTTGTGGGGTGTTGTTTAGTTTGTTCTTTGGTTTGGACCCATTTGGAACTAAGATTTTTATTTGTTTTTGGTTGGTGACTCAGCTGGACATCACACACACACAAACCTTTCCCGCTGACTCTTTTTCTCGGATTTTCTTCCATTTCCGTACAATCGTACGGACAAACCTCAAACTAACCCTTCCAGTTGTAGATCGAGATCGTTGTTGGTGTTTTTGGATTCCTTGCAAGCTTAGGAGTCGATTCATACCCTTGGTTGGACATGAAACCTTCTAAAACCCTAGTTTCTCATGAACTCCGATTTGGGTACTGTTCATGCAATCATGATCGTGAAGTATTTAGAAATTTTTAAGCTTCTAGGGAGCTTTGGAACATCTTCACGAAGCTCAGAGAAGAAAAACGAAGTGTTTTGGACGTCAGGAAGTCCTGGTTCGAAGAGTTGTAGAGGCGGCCAGAGTTTCGAAGTTTGTCTGGCGAGTTTTTGTGAGATTTATGTCCTGAAAGTGGTAAGGTTTTGTTCCTTGAATCATAAGCTTCATTTTGGTTCAGATTTCATGACTTTTAGTGAAGAAACGAACGAGTTATAACATTTAGAAGTTTTTCCTAGTTTCAAGCGACTGCGACGGGGACGGCGGCGGTGGTTCACCTGAGAAGAAAAGAGAATATTCCGGCAAAGTTGATAGAATATTCCTAACTGCAGCTAATGGCGTCAGGTTATTTTTAACGGAATATTTCTTACGGCGTTAACTTTTCCGTTAGGCGTGCCAGGCACGTGGCTGCGCGTGGGTGATTGGAAAATTTTTCTAAAAATATGGGGATGTTGTTGAGGTTGTGTAGATCATGGTGGTATATTCAAACATCCCATTTGAGCATTGTATGAGAAATTATTACCTAGTTTTGTTTATGTGCATTAAATTGACGTTTATATAGTTGTTTCGCATATAGGTGAGACCTATCCTGGGGATGAGCGTAGTCAATCGAGGCTCGGGGGCTACGATCCTTCGACATATCAGTGAGTGGGCTTTTGGTTTTCAGTATATATCTATATACTTGATTTTTCCCAGAAAATTATTTTAAATGAAAGTATGTTTTGAGTACCATGCCAAGTGTTCATATATTTTATACATGCATTAGTAGTTGCACATATTTATGGTTGACGCTGTGGACGCTCAGGTAAGTACCAGGTGAGTTATCGAATGTGTATGTAAATTGAGAATTATGTGAGATGTTTAGAGAGCTCATTAACCTGCACCCCGGTGTTAGTGCTCTGCCAGAGTTGAGGGCCTAGCCTTCACGTGATCATTCACCTCTCGCACCACACACGCTTACCTTGGATCCAAGGTAGGTGCCAGCTTGTCGTACAGACCACTTTAGGTGGTTCCGACTTGTAGGTGACTTGTGATACTTCGCACAGCCTTCACGTGATCGTAGCACTAGAGCGCATTTATTTACACCTAGCTTGTCATACTGACCACTTTAGGTGGTTTCGACTTGTGTGCAGGCATATTGTTGATGAGATATATATATATATTGTTGAGCTCTAGATTCTGCTGTACAGGTCACGTTAGATGACTCTGGCTGACTTGACATTTTTATTGTGATTTAGCACCTGGATTACATGTTTTATACTGGGACATTTGGCATGGCATAATATTGATGCATTTTGCTTTTGAGCCTAATTTGATATATGTTTATATATTCTATTTTATGGGAAAAGGTTGCAGGTTTTACAGCGAGGGGTTAGAACTTTTGAGAAATGAAATGATTTTGAAAAGCTTTGTTTTTGCCCACTCACACTTTTTGTTTTGTGCCCCTCTAGGTTCTAGGTAGGAATTCTCGTTGCTGGCTTGCGAGGGCTTCAAGGTAGTTATGACAAACTACCAATGTAGGATTATCTTTGAGTGTTACTTAATTAGTACTTATCTGGCTGGATTGAAATTTGGCTCCTTATGCTCTGATTGTGTATTTCACACTTATTTTATCTCTAGTACTTTGGTAGTTGGTTTTTATCTACTCATATTTCCCTTTATCTTTATCGCTTCCGCACTGTGCACATGGTTACGTCACTATCACGTGACGGCCAGCATGCCTTGATTTCGGTCAGGGTGTGTCATACGGTGAAGTTGGTGGTTATGCATTGGGTTTGGATGTTATAACCTTATAGGGATGGTGGTGACAGTTAATGGAGGCCATGCTTCCATGACCTTTTATTAATTTTGGAGACAAGTAAGCTCGAGTTAATTTAACAGGATTTTAATTGGGGCTTAATGGATGCAACCTTTTCAATGGGTTGTGTACTTGTTTGAAATATTTAAAAAGGTTAAGATCAATTTGAAATGACACTAAAAGGCTACGGTTTTAGGTACTTAATCCTAAAATCTCTTCTACACTGCTCACAAGTGTAATTTTCTTACTAATTATGGAAAGTTTGGAGTGCAAAATAAGATTTTTGAAGTGCTACACTTACCATCTATTCGTACTATCACTTCTACCATCTCTTCAATAAAGGTAGGGCCCACTAATGCATGTGGATCCCATTTTTATTGGAGAGATAATACAAATAGATGTTTAAAATAATATTATTGGAATTATAAATGCAAGAAACACAAAACATGAAAAGTCAACTTTATAGGCGATTTTACGGTTCATTGAATCAAGGATGCTTTACAAACACAACATATTATCTATTCTTGTCATTGAAAACCAAAAAAGGGCATTTCTAACTTTCTAGACTTCTAGATAATATGTTGATTAGGGACACATCGTGATTTTGTGTAAAAATTCTCTCTTGCGCATATGGTCGTGTGCATGAGCTCCATTTGACTTGGAAACGACAACATTACAACTGAATATCAATGTCATGTTAACGAGATTTATTTTTCTGTAAATTGTTCTTGTCATTGACCAAAAATAACGGGTGGTTTTGATTTTTTAGATTTCTGAATAACACATAGCTTTGTAACACATATCGATGTGACTGCGAACTCAAATTTTTTGTCCAATAATTGTCGATTTATTTCCTTTTAGGTAATTAGAGGTCGCATATGCACAATATATTAAGGGTAAATTGTCGTTTAACCTTATGAGCTATCACGTGAGTGTCAATGTCCTCCTTGAACTATTTTTTTTAGCTACTTGATCCCTTGAACTATGTCACCATTAAGTTTTTCAAGTTCGATCCAAATTGCCTTCAAAATTAAGGGCAAATGTGTCGTTAAGGGCAAGTTCCATCCAAATTGCCTTCAAAACTAAGGGCAAGTGGTAAATAAGAAGCAAAGGTGCCTTGTCTTAAGCGTTTGGTAATAGCACATGCAAGACAGGCCGCCCAACACCAATAGCGCTTTTGATTGGATGCGTGTTGAACGTAAGCTTAAGAATAAAGGTAATATTCCTATCTCTCTTTGCCTTCCTTACCTATATCACTTGCAATATTCATATAAATCACAAGTACATTGCATATAAATTAACATAAATTAACTTAAATTAACTTTTTAGATTGCCAATCAATCTTCAATCATCAAAACAAGAGGATCATGCACCCTAAGACACCATCACATGCCTTCAAAACTGGATTCAAATCTCTCTATATTTATACACTACCATTCTATAAACTCAATACTTCCCTCAAACTTCTCATCACTGCCTCGAAAACCCAGGAAACAAAACTGTGAAACACATCGATTCAAGTCCTCAATTTCATTCGAAATAATGGGTTATGAGCCTCGAAGGAAAATGGAAACGAAAGGAGTTTCGGTACTTGGAGGGGATCAAGAGTTTTTGTTCAACAGAAACCTCTTAAGAAACTCCTCATCCTCATTGGGTTGCTCTTCTAGGGTTTATTACTGCAGGAGCACTGAAGGGGTTCCATTTAACTGGGAACTGCAGCCAGGAACACCGCGGAACCCACCAAAAGAAGAAGCAATTCCACCAATAAGCCCTCCTCCGGCTGTGCTCAGCTTAGGGCTACCCAAGCCCTGCATTGATCAGCAGCTTCATACTAATAAGCCTCCAACAAGCCCTCTGCATAGGCTCAAGTTTTGGAGTAAAAAAAGTAAGGGAAAACAACAACGTAAGAATAATTTGCAACACAATGGTGGCTTATATAAGTTTGATAAGGTCGAGTCTTGCAGCTCTGATTCTGAGTTCATGGCATCGTCAACTTCACCTCGGAACTCAAGCTCTTCATCTTCATCTTCATTTTCTTTTTCAAAAGGGCAGTGCTCGAGTTTAAGAAGTACTCCGGCAAGGGATTCTTTCACTAGTTCTGGTCATTTCAGCTGCAGTCCTTGGAAATTAAGATCTTTTTCTCACTAGCGCTGCAAGGCGAGTTTGATACAGCGTGTTGTTAAGTTTTGCATTATGCTTTGTCATATACTACATACAATTATTCGTTTCTAGAAAGGCTTTTTTTAGCCAAATTGACTTTTGAGATTGGCATAACTCTTCATTTTGGTCTCTGAGATTTAAAATCAATAGAACTGATCATTGAGTTTGTCTACTATCAACCATTTTGGTCATTCTGTTAAAAATCTCAGTTAAATAAGAATAAAATAACAAAAATACCCTTAATTTTTGTCAAATCATTTGGGCTTTGTTTATTAAATTGAAGATATTTTTGTTATTTTGATCCTTATTTAGAGGATATTTTTCACAGAATGATCATAATGATTGACGGTGGACAAGCTCAGAGACCAATAGTGCCAGATCCAGGATTTTAATATTGGGTGGTCCCAATATAAATGCTCCAAAAAATATTAGACGAAATCAGTGTTCTAAAAATCGGCCTAAGAGCTCGGTGGTGAAGACCCGTCCCGATTTAGGGCAAATCGTTTCAAAAAATGCGTCTAGAGCTAGGCCGTCCTAGGCGGCACCTAGGTGGTCCTAGACGAATTTGGTTTTTTTATTTTTATTAATTGTGTGTTTTTTATTTTATTTTTAGTTTATAGTGGTATACTTGTGGAAATGGTGTACCTAATTTGCAAATGATGAAATAACACACCCCGACCCCGAATGTCCACTAGGACTCCGAATTGAGTTGTGCTGGCCGACACCTGGGAGGTGACGAAGCCATAAAGTGTGATGATGTGGAAAAATGTGAATAAATTTAAACCTAAGAGTGCCTAAATACCAGAGTGCGCTGGTGAGCAGGAATGAACCCACTTCACACGTGACGTTAGAGCATAAGTAAGTACAGTGGAGTGGATAAGAATTATACCCTCAAAAGTAACCACCTATCCTTAGATTTGCCAAGAATCCTCGTCAATACGAACCTTCAGCAATTAAAACCTGGAGGGGCGCAAAACAGAAAATGTGAGTGGGCAAAAAAAAAGCTTTTTAAAAACCATTTCAATTATCAAAGGTAGTAACCCCTCGCCGTAAAACCTATATAATTTCCCAGAAAATAGAATATATACATATATCGAAACCATACTCGAATTAGCAAAATCCACATATATGCCTTGTCAAATATCTCAGCATAAAATATGTAAGCATGGTGATATCAATCAATGCAAATGATATGTCAGCCGGAGTCACCTAACGTGACTTGTACGGCTCAACTCCACATCTCAACAAATATACCTGCACACAAGTTGGAACCACCTAAAGTGGTTTGTACGACAGGACTGTGTGTAAATAAATACGCTCAAGTGCTACGATCACGTGAAGATTGTACGAATAATCGCGAGTCACCAATGAGTCGGAACCACTTATAGTGGTCTGCACGACAGGATTATGCACCTAAATTGGATCCAAGATGAGCGTATGGTGCGGGAGGTGAACATCACGTAAAGGACTGTGCCTTAACCATGGGTGGGAGCACTAACACTGGGGTGCAGGTTTATGAGCTCTCAATGCATCTCAACATACTCATCAACTCACATTAACAATCTATAACTCACTTGGTACTTACCTGAGCGTCCACAGCATCAAATCACACAATATGCATACTATACTAACTCATAATCTAAGTAAAAATCATGAGGCATGGCATTTCAAAACATAATTCCATTTAAACGCATTTTCTGGGAAAAATACCAAGCATACATATATATACTGAAAACAAAAGCCCACTCACCTAGAGTTCACGCTACAACTCCCTAACACAACCATAGAGGCGTCATGAACGATTAGCGCCTAGAACCATTATCAAATCACAACTCAGAATTCTTATCAATAAAATATGTAACTTACATAACACACATCTATACGTAGTTTGGTTCGGAAGATCTGCATCATGGATTTCTGATCCCTTACTTCCAAAGATCCACATTATACTTCTAGACAACATCCTAAAGTTCTATTACGATCCAACGGTCGGATCTCCGCCAATTGCCAAAACCAAGTGGCGGTTAACATTTTATTTTATGAACTAACAAATCCAAGTCGAGAAGATCCGTATATCGGATTCCCGATCCGTAAGTTCCTATGGTCCTCAAATATTACGTACTATAACGTATTAAAGTTTGGTGACGATCCAACGGTCGGATCATCGATTCACATCTTTACCAAGTAACATATTGTAATGAATTTAGGTCCAAATGATCAACCTACGTCATACAATTACCAAAATTGAACTCAAGACATCTAATTTATTCTAAGAATAACATCATCGACCCTTGGCCACACACCGCCGCATGCGCCGCCGTGGGTGGCGGTTGGCTGCCTCGACTCGCCGGAAAATCCAACTATTTCCAAAAATTACCAAAATTGACAGGAATGAAGATCTCAATGAGTAAAGTAAAATTTATACCTCCAGCCAAGTCTAATTTGACCAGGAAAAGCTCCAATTTTGCTCAAACCCATCGGAACCCTAGAAAATGGTGGTTGTCGATTCGTCATCTTCGAAGCTCCACCGCCCCAACCACCGCTTGGTTCTTATTCCTGGGTCCAAGGGAAGGCTAACTGTGGTGGTAATCAAAGGAAATGGTTGTAGGAATGGCGGATTCGTCGTTGTGCACCCATCGGGTTCCCGATTCGATTTCTACGAATTAGGCCCCAATTGACTTAGATTTTTGGTAGAAATAGGAAAGGAGAGGTCGTGAACAAATTCCCAGGTGAAAGCTCGGTGAATTTCACCTGAAAAGTTGCTAGAGGACCCCATAATTTGGATTGGAGCTGTCGGGTCTACATGCGGGTCATGGTCTGAAACGGGTCAAGGAGAAAAGGTTCCTGATCCCCTGTTCTTCATTCCATCCTTGGCCCTCTCTTCCAACCTCCCGATTGGCCATCTCCTCACCTCCTTCTTTTGGTTAGTCACTCACTCCCTCTTCTTTCTAATTGGGCAGTAGCCCTTCTTTCTTTTCTTCTTCAACTTAAAAAAATAACTAAATGATAAATAAATATAAACATTATAAAAATATATAAATAGTGACTAAAACAAAAGTACTTCTCGAGTTTACAGTTCCATAAAACTTTAACCGTAACCCCAAATCCTCTTCTGCTTGCGCCTATGAATCCGTAATGTCGAGTACTTCAGGAAAATGCTAAAGGATTAATTCATACATCTCACTATACGTTGATCAACGAAAGTCAAGACCCTCGCCTCTAAGGGCATTTTCGTAAAATCACGCTTTTAAAATTTGTAAAAGCATAAGATTAGGGACAGGTCCAAAAATAGACATATAAAGCATAACATAGGGTCCAAAAATAAAATAGACGTATAAAGCATAACATCAGAATACATTTGTAGTGAAGTAAAATTAAAATAGTTATACTGAAATCAAAAGCAAAGATAAAATATTTTTCACAAACGCACTCATAGTATAACGTACTTCGAAACTAAGTTTGTAATATCTTTGGGTCAAGCCCAAACAACAAATTACTACTTAAATAAGTAAATACAAATACTAACGTAGAATGACCTACTTGTTTACTTGCTTAACGAACCCAACAAATAAATTATTGATATTATGGTCTACAACCCGCAATATTCACAACCACCGTTGTCTCGATAAGCAAGTAACAATCCCCGAGGGTGCAATATTACCATCTTGCCCCTCATTGGGAAATACACATATACGCCTCGATCGTGCTCATTCACTACCTTCTTAGACAACATCGTCAATAACATAAAATTTTCTACATAACAAATTCAATCATTCAAATACTTATTCACAATACTCTTTGTAAATCACAAGTTGCGCATGCAACAATATTTATATTATCTCTCAAATGATGCCATACTCCTAATCAGGAATGTAACCGTAGTTACCCATAACTCTAACAAAAGTAAGCGTCTACCAAATGTGCACTATGCATAAGGTAGGTATGTTAACTCCAATGGTAACATAGCTAACCCAAAATTGAAACCGTGGTTACAAGCAACTAAAATAGAGATAATGGTATGATGCAACCATGCTAATGGTGGGACGAACAAGGTGCAACTCGTCCACTAAGGTTTGAATAACTCGTTTCAGACTAATCGTTAGTCTAGGGGTAGAAATGTGATACTAAACAACATCTAATACTCAAAACCTTCATAAAGACTTCCAAAGGCTTGGAAGTGAAACATGTAGCACGATGAAATATAAATACACCAACGTTAATCAAAAGCGAGGTGTATCTAGAGTGATGATTCTCTTCAAACACATCAAAGGGAGCCTCGATTTTATTCCTTTCCTACCTCTACCTTTGATCATGTGACAATGAGAACTTCTTGATCACATCACATGGAGAAGTTAACAGCGTCCCACTTCTATCTTAGTTGTCTTCACAAGTGTTTTGTTGTTGAAATTCCAACGCCCATTTTCCGGAATGAAATCATCGCCAATACTTAAAGCCTTGAAGCTGGAAGAATACGGCTTCCCACTTAAATAAAGCTACCACCAATTAAAACACTACATAAGCATAACCTTGGTTCGGCATCAAGATTATTGACCTTCACATTCACTACCCATACAAAATACCTCGTACAGAGAGCGTATAATGATACTTCCCAACTCCATTCATATAACAAAAGTGATTTACCATTCGAACTATTCTTGATGAGTCAAAAGTAATTCCATAACGATACTTGAATTCTCTAACTACAATAGGATAGAATAAGCTGAAAATGATCAAGTACAGTTATGTCCCTTAATTGCCGCCATGAAAACTAAGCTCATTCCAAGAGTAAATGTATTTAGGAAATTCTAAGGTTGATAAGGATTTTGGACCCGTTCTCCACAGAGAAATGTCATTTGATTTTCAAGCAAAGATGGTAAATTTCGACTCTAAGTCATAAATGAGATGGCTCATTCTAAACAATTCTACACATTAGAAATATAGATGAAAATCCATCATGCTGCCTCTGCACAACTGAAACATCCAAAGATACATCGTCATGAATCTCCCAGAAGATCAACATCATCGAAGAATGTAAAGCAATGGTGAACTGAGACAATAATTTCATTACCAGAAACTTTATTCATATCCAACTTTCC